ATTTATTTTATTTGAATTCTAAATAGGCTCGAAAAGATCACTATAATGAAAGAGCTCGACAATTAAAAGAGGAATTTAAACAATCAAATCCTGATTTTGTATATACACGTCGTGGGACTACTGCTGCTTCAAAAAAGAGGGGTTCAACTTCATCTGCAACTCCATCTGTTAAATCGCCTACCGATACAATAGCTGTCCCCCCTCAGGCTACTAATGTGCCAATAGTAAGTCATTATATTTCATTCATTCATTCAATCAATCAAATGTCAAGCAAATGTCAACACTTTCATGTACAATTACTCATTTTCTTTAATTAAATTTTATTTTTAGTCTAATGGTTCAGTTAACGGAGTAACCCAACATAATTCAAACAATGTATATTCTTCTCCACATCAACATACACCTACGCCTTCCTCAACTCCTACTCAACAACCAAGAAGTACTCCGGCTACTGCAACTTCACAGGTATATTATCGTATTACAATATCAATTTTTCTTTTCTAGTTATTTTCCTTGTGATTCAATTATTTAATCGGTTATTTTTATTTAAATAGACTCAATCCACTGCACAGCAACCTCAGCTACGGACTCCTCAAACTATTGGAACTACTTCAACTACACCCATTTCATCTGCTAGAAGAGATCGTAAATTGAGGAGACCAATGAATGCATTTCTAATATTTAATAAAGAAATGCGACCAAAAGTTTTAGAAATGAATCCTAATATGAGTGTTGCTGAGATTTCAAAAACAATCGGAGAGAATTGGCGTAATATGTCTGAGGTAAATCCGTTCAAATTATTATCGTCATTTTAATATATATATTTAATATATATATATATACATATACATATATTTTATTTTTATTTTTATTTTTTATTAATAGGATGAAAGAGAGAGATACCTTCAGAAAGCTCGTGATTTAAAGAGTGAATTCCATGAATCACACCCTGATTTCGTTTACACTCGTAGATCAAAGGCTGAACTTATTGCTGCTGGTCATCATAGTTATTCCAAAAAACGTAGTTTCCCTCAAAATGAAAATTCTGATTCTGAAGAAGATCCTCGTTCTTCACATGGAAATAATATTCGTGATGGCTCACCATCAACTTCTCCACAAAAAGATCCTCGAGGTCGTAAAAAGAAACGAAGTCGTCATCCAACAGCTCCTAAACATCCAATGTCTGGTTTCTTATTTTATGCATTAGAAATGAGACCTCATGTTGCTGAACAAAATCCTGGTAGTACGGTCGGTCCAATTAGTAAAATTATTGCTGGTCATTGGAAGAATTTAACACCCGAACAAAGAGCTCCTTGGGAGAAAAAAGCTTCTGATGACAAAGCTCGATATGCGAGAGAAATGGAGCAATATCTACAATCTCAAAAAGATGAAGAGTAAAAAAAAAAAAAAAGGGTTGATTTGCTGTTGAAATAGATAATTATGCTAATGTTGTAAGTGATGATCATTTTTGATTGTGGTGATAATTTTTTGATGGAGGTTATAATGGTTTGTAATAAGATTAAT